TGTCATTATGTAACGAATCCAAAGAAGAAAGAAAATTATTGTTATGATCAGTCTTAAACAAATGAAAAATGATGAACAGGACCATATTTTCTGAAAACACGCGAAATTTAGAGAAGAAAAAAGTGACTTTTATAAAAATCGGGAAAACGAGGGGTTTCTCAAACTTTTAATCGATAGCCATCTCATTGATGAAGAACAACAGTTCAGAAGGTATTTTAGGCTGTCCCGCAAATGTTTTGAACCTTGTAGAAGAGGAACTGAGAATTTATTTCTGTATCCGAGTCAAGATACCAATTACACCTGCAGAAAATTGGCTTTTTTAACTTTGAGGTAAGTGGACAGATCAATAAAATTGAGAAAAAAAACCATAACATTTATTTTCGTAGGTTTCAGTCAAATCACAAACAGTACACACAACAAAATAAACATTCCGAGACGGACAAAACCTGACTACTGCGCTGCGTGAAACCGAATAGACTCCTCTCCAAGCAGTCAGTCTAACACGTTGAGCGCATCACGTCGGCGTGGAACGTGTTGCGCTCTTTAGGAAAACAGTCCTATTGAATCTCTATAAAGGAGTAGGTGACGTATTAAGCTGAGCTTAACACTTCGCACGCGACGCGAAAAATGCGTCGCTAGAAAAACAGGGCTAACTCACCAAGAAAGTGTAATCACATATTTTTGTGTTCAAAAAATATTATTTGGGAATAATGCAAACAAAATTTTCGGTTGTAATGATCTATACAACTGTTCAAATTTCTGAAACATTTTTAATAATCAGTGGCATTTCTTACAATCCAAACACAAAGCATTCTATTCTTGTTGATGGTTATTATTGTTAATACGAGTATATGACTTCAAACTCTTGTTTCAACAAATTTACATATTTTCATCTATGAAACATCATCGCAATAGATGACCCATTGCGTATACTCAAGTCAGTTCAAAATCAATTAAATCTCGCGAGTCCAGTGTTAACACAAAAAAGAAGAGGTCAATAGTTAATATAAAGAATCTAATAGTCCAATCTGAAAGATTCGATCTGGAATTTCATTTCAAGGTTAAATTTATCCATTCGTTCTTACTTCACAGACGTCTTTTGAACTATATTTTACCCTGGAATCAAAATGGAATGACGAGACAAGTGTGCTGTCATCAGCAAAGCAATGTATTGGGTTCTTGTTTTTTTTTTCAATAAGTCGTTAATATACAATAAAAAGAGGGTTGGAGACAATATGGGTCCCTGGGGAACACCAGCGTTGATGGTGAAAGTATTCAAGAGATATCTATCGACGGCCACTTGCAGGGAACGTTCTTTCAGGAAGCTGAAGAGCCATACACAAAAATGTTTCGGTAGAAAAAAAAAAGTTGACCTTCAAATGACCTTGATAATAGTGTTGATGATTTAAAAGTGTGGAAGTAAATTTATCCATTCGTCCTCATTTCACAGACGTCTTTTGACCTATATTTTACCTTGTCAACTCTAAAATCAAATAATTATTTGAAAGTAAAATTGTCCGCTCTTTTCGGTTTCGGTTAAAAAATTTGCGTTCCGTTACAAAAACAAGTGTTCCGGTTCGATAATAGGTGTTCCTTTTTTTTAAGGACAAAACACAAGCACTATAGGAAAATCCTTAAGGCGCTCTCAAATCCATTTGGAAAAACGTTCCAGGAAGTTGGTGGAATCAAATGTGCCAAGTTACTTGAACACTTCCCGTGAAAGTATCTATAGAACTTTTTTCGATGTTCCAAGCTATCAAGGTTGCACGTGATGTTCGCGTCTCCAATCAGGCGGGTGGCACTTTTCTGGATGGAATCCAAAAGGAATCCAGCAACTTCAGGGTATGTTTGGAGGCAGAGCTCCATAAGAACAATACTCCAAAGAAGTTCTGATCTAAGCTTTATAAAGCATCAAAAGTTGCTGAGATGAGTACAGTTTTCTAGTTCGGAATAGATTTCCAAACTTTTGAGAAGCAGCCTTTGCAACTCCAGCGATTGTGGCAAGATATATTGGTGTCATTTCAACCCCCAACAAACTTATCGAAGCAGAAAGCGGAATTGTCTGGCCTGACATTATAATATCCAGTTCGGAGACATTTATCTTCTTGAAGAAAACCGATGCCTGGGTTTTTGTGTTGACCTTCAAATGACCTTGATAATAGTGTTGATGATTTAAAAGTGTGGAAGGGTTAAGCCATTAGATTCCTCGTGAGAAATCACCTAGAGGGAGAGTCTAACCGGTATACACCTGCTTTAATGTGTACACATAAAACTCCTTTCATTTATGAAAAACTGGAAGAATTCTAACTTCAAACTCTAAAAGAATTGTGTTTTGTCGTTTATAATATATATTCATAATATCAATAAATTTTCCTGATTTTTCTTCTTCTCTATTGCGTTTAGGTAATCCATAAGTGTTACATGTAAAAAAAAATGTTCAAGTCGAAACGTAGGTACTTTTCTTTTATAATTTTTAGCTTGTCATTTCATACAAGTGAATGTAACAATGTGAAAGTTTGAATATTTATGAAAATTCGAATATTCTACATATCTATAACAATTTTTTCCGTACATGTTTCTACGTCACTGTAATATAGACTTTAGATTTAAAAATCGCCTTTGCCTATCAATGTCGGGGGAACAGTGGAATTTTAATTTCAATCTTACAAATTATAAGGTGCGCGGATCAAGTAGCCCATGCATTCTTGGCTTTTAGCTATAGCAGCCCCAAATTAACGATAATAGTGGAGACGTGGGCCGAATAAATGATCGTAAAGGAAAATATGATTCGTCCAGTCTAGAAGATCCAATGAAACACCTACGGGATATGTAAATCGAATTTTAAATCGGCTTTCAAAAAAAAAGTAATTCTGTAGAGTGAGGTTTGAGAAAATGCATAAATGTTCAAAATAAAAGTGAATTTTGGGTCAAATCCAAATTCGAAGTATTAGTAAACAGGCCAAGCCACACAAAGGAAAAATGATTTCCTGAAAACTCAAAAATTATTGATTTTGGTAATATCCATTAGATATGATAAACTCAGCACTCTGAGCATTACACCTTCATCGCTCTGAATAAGTATTTAAACCAGTATCTGAAAGGAATTTCAGTTGACCTATTAACTGGGTGTCAGTTTCATTTTTTTGACGTTTGTATGTTTTTCATTTCTGCCAGTTATAATTTTTTACAAACTGATTACTGAGAAATTCTTACTCCAATTTCGGGATCAGCTGACAAAAAAAACGTAAGTAACAGTGAAAACATTGAAAATATAACTCATTTAACCTAGTTACCAATGTCCTAGGACATATTGTGTTTTGGAGTCACCATATTCTATGACAGATTTTTCATCTCAATTACTTGTTTTCGCCGCTGATCACGAATCCGAAGTCAAAACTTGGGCTCCAGTCTACTTTCGGATTTACGTCTGCTCAAAAGACGAACTTGTTGAAAAATTGACAGTTTCAGGAAATCCGGCAATGAAAAATCTTAAAAATCCACTTTTTTCATTCGCCCATTTCATATTGTAACAAACAGTAAAATTTTCTTTTTCACATTGATGTCAGCACATTACATTTATTGACATGTGTTTCCCATACAATAGCTTCAAGTATAGCGAAACACGTGTTAGGGTTTTGTAAATCGTCCAGTGAAAATCTCACAATGAAGCATTACTTGAGTGAGTTATGGATTTTCATCAAGCCTGGTTAATTTCCTTCAAATAATTGATCTGTTAAAGCAATAAATTCCAACGTATAGATAACCTAACCTAGCCAAAATTAAATTCAAATAATGCAACTATGAGCTGAAAAACATCATATTCTCAATTAATTTTCATTAAATTATATGATTTTTCAAGTTCTAGTTGCAAATAATTAAATCTAGCTTCAGCAAGGTTAGATTTTGTTCCATTTATTTGCAATGAAATATAACGTGCTGACATAAGCCGAGTGCAAAGTATACAAGAAAAGAGATTGCTGTCTACAGACGACGATCATGATTTTCCATCCAAACTACAAACATGGGAATGATTGTGGAAGGAACAATCTAACTGACAAAAAAGGAGGCCGCATTCATTACCTTTTCGAAAGCTAAAATAGTCTCACAACATAGCATTCATTTCCAGTTCAATTTTAGAACCCTGCCACTCGACGAAAAAGTCCCTTGTCAAAGTTAAAGTGACATTTAGTTTGATGAATAATTGTTGTTTCAACAGATAATTAATTTAATTTCAAGGAAACTGAGCATTTGATATGGACAAAAAATGAAAATGACATGTCATCGTGGAAAGAAGATGTCATGAAGTTTTTATTACCGGTAATGACTGGATTTTTAACTTTTGCGTGGCCGTATCTTTGTACTCAAAACGCAGTGACAAGCATTGATTTCGGAGTCGTAATCAACAAAAAAAATCAGTAAAACTAATTACAAATTTTTCAATAACCAGAGTGATCCTGAAAATCCAACTTTTACCATTACGCTTTTGGAAAAATATTCTACCATTTCGTCTCGCTTATCGATCTTAATTTATTGCAAACCAAACCTGAGCTGACGAAATGCTTAGTTAATTCCTGAGGTATGTGTTGGACTATCATTCAGAACATGAAAGAATGAAATGAAATTGAAACATGTAAAATGAAACTAGTACGATGAGAAGCAGCATATAAGGTAAGTTCTGATGATGCCTATCTTTTTTAAGTAGGTATATATTATTATAAAAATATTTCGAGATCTTTTGTTCGTAAGACATAATACGTAGCTCAACGAAGTGAATCTAAACATTCGATTATACGAGCAGCATATCCCATTTTTTAAATTTCACATGCCTCCTTGACATCTGTGACATTTTGACACCCCGTTCCGTTCTTAATACGTCTGAGCCCCGTGAAGAAATCATTCTTCGTAAACTATTCTGACAAATCCATTTTAACGCTCGGTTTACCCTCTGCGTTTCACTAATCTCGAGATTAATCTAATATCTATGTTAAGTGGAGACTTACCGGTGTGAAGGAACAGGTGATTTTTCAGGTTGGTGTGTTTGGAGAATCCTCTCGAGCAGATGTGGCACTTGAACGGCCATGAGCCGGAATGGACGTACATATGAGATCGTAAGTCGCCGGGCGTAGGAAAAGACTTGCTGCACAGATTACACTTGTGTGGTTTATCCTGAAACAAAAGATGAATGTAATTGAATATAAATATATTTTTTGTAGAGGAGTCAATATTTCTTACTGTTTTTGGGGTAAATAACTTTCCACAATTTGAAAAATGAAGACAGCTAAATCATTAGACAATCTGCTGAAGTGTAATAGGGAGCAAACAGAAAAGTTCTACCGAAAAGTTACTGCGTAATATAAAATGGAATGAATGAAAAACTTAAATTTCTAACTGTTCGACAAATATATTTCCTTTTGACACACGTGTGTCTTAAAAAATATAGCTGTTGACAAGCTGGGTTTTGAAAACTGAAAAAGAGTATTTTCTGAAACGTTGACAATCATAGAAAATATCGAAATTTAATTTGTTCAATCAATTATTCAATTTGTAGGTGAAGTTTATGAGTACGACAAGTTACTGACTAATTGGACTCTTCAGTGGTTTAATTTCACGCAATAACTTTTCAGAATGAACTTGTCAATTTGCCCTCCAATCAGCAGAATCTTTATTCAACAAGTTGTGCCAATTTTTCAGATTGTGGAAGGTTGTACTACCAAAAAAAAAACCGTAAGAAACATTGACTAAGAGGGTTTCTCAACAAGATTATCTTTTCCTTTTTGAAATGTTAACGAAAAATGAGCACTTCTTTCTGTTTTTCGCCAATAAAGCCTAAATTATGCATCTTACGTGAATAGACTTTTCATACACTTTTCAATAAGATGTAATTTTCCATGATTTGAAACAGGAACGAGGTTCTCAAGACAACCTGTTTCTGAATTTGAGCCGTTCAAAAATTGACCATTTTCAGAAAAAATTGAAAATTGTCATTCGCGTCTTTTTTTTCAAACGAAACTTGGTATATAGCATCAACTCCCTATGGGCAATTCTTCATCATGAGCTATTAGGAAACGTAGTAAGCTTCATTTGTAAGCCTTGACGTAATGCCCAAATTACTGAAAACAGTGCGGCTAGAAAGGAGTAAAACGGATATGTTCAAAATAATGAACACTATTCAAATAGCTACCTACCGGTACCTGCATGAACCTAAATGTCAGACCATGTTTATTCGTGAGGTTTTTTTTTCTCGCTGACGAAGAAAAAAGAGGAAAGATGGTATCACCATCCTAACCAGCCCCAAAGACTGTGTAACTCAAAAGAAAGGCTTCATAATTCCGCGTGAAATATCAAAATAATTACCAATGACCCCATATGATAAGAGTTGGAATCAGGAATTCATTTTCTAATATCCACAGTTGATTTCGCAATTCAGTGTTTTCTTTGTTCATACTAAATATTTTTATTTATATCGACTATATGTGATTTCAATGTAATATCTATATAAAATTTTTCTAGTGCCTTTTTTGTTCATACTGAAAGAAACTTCATTTTTATATTTCATTCATTATAATCTATTGTGAGTATATTAAAATGATATAACCCACGCACAGATTTATCCTGCTGTGGAAACTATATTATTGTGTATTTCAAATTGATTGGCAGATAAATATTATAACTATTATTATTATCAATATTATATTGAGGATACCGGAAGATCATGAAGCCACACATAGAAAGTTATTGAACCATAGACGTGAACCTTTTTTCACAACTTATTGTTATTGCGTTTGGATGGAAGTAGCCGAATTAAGTATAACAGAAAAGAGTATCCCAATTTTTTCAAAAATCGGCTGGATATTATAGATTTTGATAAGGTTAGTGAAATTCCTGATAACAGCTGATTCACGAAACTTCACGAAATTTTTACTGATTTCTCGAAAGTATGAATAGATTATTGCAGTCGTCAAAATATTTCTTCAGTTGTCCCATGAAATGAGTTTACTAAGTTTCAATAATGATAATAATCCTTATTTTCTATATAACAAAATACAAAAGTTAAAAATTTGTAGAAAATATATGTCATATTATATACATACTAATACGTGGCTGGTAGTCACATACGTGAAAATATTTCCCACACAAATGTATATATGGTTGCCCTTATTGTCATAAAAAATATGATTGTTCGGGAAAAGAGTAAGTAACGGTAGTGTTTTCAGCACAGATCTCGAATGACTATTATGTCAAACTGCTCCAATATGTCTGAAAAAACACCAAATTTCAAACAATGGAAAGATTGCTGATCACACTGCTGTTTATGATAACATACAGTGTAACATTATCGATTAATTCCCAAACACTCAAATGAAATATTTCTGGATTTACGATGAAGCACGATACGTAAAGACGATACAATTTTTTTACTACTTTATTTGTGCCAGTCGTTTCCACTGCAACAGCAACAAGCAGGAACACGCGTTTATTGCTGCATGTTGCCGATTTTATTCCGGTATTACCGCTTGAAATGGGAACCGGCAACAAATATCAACGAGCAAATTTTGTTGTCGATAGAAACAGAACCTTTTAGCAACTTTATGGTACATTTTTGGCAACAAACAATATCAACAGGAATGTTGCTTAATACTGCTACAGTAGACACATAACTTTGGAGTTGACGATATTGATGCAAACGTTATATGCTGATTCAAATTTGGGACTTTCCATACCGGCAGCAGTTTTACGTCTATTCAACCCCGATTGTGACATGTTTCAAGTTCCAAGAAGTCGTAAAACTATAATATTCATCAAATACGGTATATACAACTATCGAAAATATCATGAAACCATATATGTTTCCTTTGTATCAGTAATTACTTGAGAATCATACTTTCTGTAAATAATAGACATTTTTCACATATTCATAGTTAACGCTAAACGTCATTTATGCTCAATTGTGTCTATACCATGACTAGGCAATAGCGATGATTTTTATTTTCATCCAAATTATTTACCGCTACAAATTCCAACGCAGCCATTATTTTTCCACCGTATAACCTATCAGTGATTGTCCAGATAATCCATATCGCGGCTGAAACGTTCAAGAACAGACTGTGAAGCGATGCTACCGACTACTTACGTAACTAGTCAATCAAACATCAGATAAAAGGTGAATTACGAAGAGTAGTGCATGAAAAGAAGCAAGACACGCATTTAGTAGTATTATTCACTCGCTGTCCGTTTCAAAAGAAACAGTCGATGGTCAATCAAGCCACTGGCATTCGTGAGTTTATTCAATGATAACCAGCGGTGGTGTAACCATAAGGAAGTCGGTATTTAAAACACGCGCGAAGTGGAGAACATTTTTTAAAGACCAGTTATCTACCACTATTTTACGCTATTTTTTATTATTGTCTACTCTTTGAATTCCTCATATATTTTTATTTATGAACATGGAAATAAGAATCAATCAGCCTATGCGAGTGTCCGGAGTTATTGTCAATAAGAGAGTGTGTTCGGCGAGTCTTGGCCTACACCTGCCGATATGAAGGAGATGTCTCCCAGTGACCTGTCCACCTTCCTGGAAAGGACAGGATGGACGATGACCTAGGAGGACAACGCCTTGGGAGGATTTCTAATAGGTCACATGTGGCCTAAGTGCTGTGGGTCTACACTCCCCCTCTTTACTCTACAGATACAGATACAGAGAAGAATCAATCAGCTAATCAGTCCAGTGATCAAATGACTTATTTCCAAAATGGTTGCTTGGGTAACAGAATCAATTATTTTTATAAAAACAATTGTTTATTTGCTAAAGTTTCGAATTCTAATAAATTCTTCTTCGGCACTTCTTTTCTAGCCCTCAATAGAAATTTCATTGAATTCGGAACGTTGACAAGAAAACAATTATTTTTCTAAGTGACATTTATCCCGACCTCAACCAACCTTTTTGGAAATTAGAATTGATAATGTAAAATGGTTGAATTCCTGTACCAAAGATCCATAGTTACCCCTGGTGTTTGCTCTGGTTCGCTTTGTTTTGTCAAAAGCTCTCGATGCGAGAAATGTAATTGACCCAACTTTGTTCACAAATTGATAGAAGGAACAAGAATCGTTTCCAAATATGAACGAACATTGGTGTGCGCTCAGCGCCTCTGTGAAAGTAATGCCAAACAATATTGAAAGTTACAATAATGAAAATGCAACCTTATGTTTCCAAGAATGCTAGTAGTAGATATCAATCTCCACTTCATTCCGCCTGATTTATGAAACCTAAGTATCAATATTTTAAACAGGTTGTACTTTCCATATTCAATCAGAAAATAAAGGGTGTTAAATATTTGAATGAAGCTTTCAAACCATTTTTTGGTAATATTTTATTTGATGTTACAACGTACATATTAACTACATAGTTGACATTTAGAATTAACGGTTCTTTGGCTCTTAATGTTACCATGGTAATTTTAAAATACGCATGATTTTCAAAGTAGGATTTGAACACGCGTACTTCAAATAAGAAAAAAATAGGTTACAGATAAAAACAATTGAAACCTTGATTTCCTTCTCAGAATGGAAGGCACCTGTTACCCAACCAACCCCTTTTTCAGAAAAATTATTGGATCACGAAACTAGTTAACAGACACATGAATATTTCAACTTCTGAAAGTATTTCATATAAACAATATCCAGACAAAAATATGTTCTATAATGATTCATGAAAAAAAACATGTTAGTTATTGGTTGTTATGGCTCTCAGTCTCCAATACTGTTGTATTGTACATAAACCTGATGTATTTGAAGCCCTCTGAATATCAACTTCCTGAAGTTGAAGAGCGTTTGTGTTCCTAATTTCAGCAACTTATCCCTTTTGCCCAACAGAACTGGCTTTTACAAGACACTACCACAATATAGTCCACCGTGATCTAGCTATTTTTCAGTAGTAGTACCAAGAGGTTTATGTTCTCCAAGAAATACCATCATCAATCTCTCTGGTGACTCTTGAGGTGAAGTTAAATAGTCTGAATCTATCACGTACCATAAATGAAATGCATTCAACACTAAGAAATGTTTCGAAAATTGCTATCAGACGATAATTTTGCTACTGCTCATATTGTAAGAATTTTTCATAGTTTGGGAACTTCATTTTTATCGCATTGTTTCAAAATATCTGTTAA